TTAACTGCTTGAACTAAGGCGTAATCTGCTTACCAGCACGGTTTTAATGCTGACGGTTCACTGCATAATAGGAAGGCATATTATGAAACTGGGTCTAAGCCATAATGACTTTTGTCAAGATTATGGCTCTACGGTTATTGGAACAATTATAAAATTTATTAACATTTCGAAGTATTTAAATGGTAAAAAAATAATAATTGTAACTGATATTATTGTAATTTTGTGATTATTTATATATAAGGGTAAAGAAAATTATGTAAAAACCTTTATAAAAAATATTATAAATATATTGTATTCCAAAAAATTATTAATAATAATTTTAATAAATAAAACTCTTTTAATAAAAAAAAAAAAAGAATTGTCATATGTTATTATATTCTATTATTAATTATTATTATTTATTATTATTATTATTATTTATTATTATTATTATTATTATTATTATTTATTATTATTATTATTTATTGATTTAAAAATTCATACAGCACTTACCAAAAATTTTGAAATCTTACTTAAAATCTAAATTGACAATAACATATTTGTGTGGTGCATTTTATTAACATTATTACTCATATAAATTCATAAATAATTAATCTCCTGTAACTTAAAACACTTTTCATAAATTTGCACAGGTTATAAATAGTGCTGCCGTTTAACAAGACTTTAGCTTCTTCTTCGGACAGAAGTGTTTTATCAAAAAAATCCATCTGTGTTCTCTGAAAATTGGACATACACCAATAATATGACATATATTTTCTATTTTATGATGATTACACAAAGAACAATCACGGTCAGATTAAATTCTGTGCCGTTCAGTCTTTTTAAACTGAACCGCTTCTATATATAATCTACAATAAATTATATTAGTTTATACAATATTAGTATTATATTACTTTATACAATATTACAATATTAGTTTATATTAAATAGCTGTAGATATGATAAATTGATATATATGTAAAATACTGATAACAGTCAAATCTTGGACTTTGTGTGGATTTACTTTCTACTTTTTAGATTTTTACTTTTTAGCTACTGAAACTATTAATTTTATATATGTTTGTGAAGATACCAAACATTCTCGGGAATCCCATAGCAAATCTGCCATTATTAAAAAGAAGATAAAGGAGACTTATCTTAACATTATCCTTAATATTATATATGATATCTTTCCTGTAATCATTAGAATACTTCTTCATACACAATGGGAACCTGTTCAGTTGGAAGACGTGTTTCATATCAAGTAGTAAACCACAATATAGATGAAATGTTTGCAGATTTGGATTTACCAAGAGCTAAAGCCAATAAAATCAGAGTAGTCTGTCAATATCACAAAAGACAAGAATAGAAAGAGTCGATTAAAAAGGGTAAATTGACACTTGCACGAAGATTTAAAATTTTAGATATGACAGATATCGATCGCTACGAAAAAGAGGTAAATAAACAATTTTAAAATTTTTTTATAATTTATATATTGATTTGATATATTGACTTTATTACCCACTAAATTTGGGTGAAATTGCTAACATATGTGCAGATTGAATCTTGCAAAATCAGTTGACCATTATTCCGAATCGCAGGAATAATATTCTATTCTATATTCTAATTATGACTCTCCATTAACTAAAAAATATCCCAAAAAATTTTATGATTGTAGTGATAAGAAACGAATGACATATATGTTAAAGGATGCATTTGAGGACTTGTCTTAAGATCATCGATGTATTCTAGCCGGAATGCCAGATTCACATAACTTTTCATTTCTATTGGAATGGATACAAAGACGTTATGGCAAAGCTTATTTTCCAGAGGACCGCAGGAACTCATAGCGTAATACATTACAACTATTTAATGCTCTGGACAAAGCTCCAATTACCGTCATTTTGTCAACTGTAAATGATATTGGTATGCAATCGTTTGTATCCTATGATTGTCGACTCTATTTGTTGAGAAAGGTGATTATACACTCTGATGTGGGTTTCGAATATATAAATATAATTTATGTAAGCTATATAATACAATTCAATACAATATAATATTACACAACATATTTCAAAACAATATAATATAACAATACAATACAATAATAACAATACAATGTAGTAGTATACAATATATTATGTTGAAGCTATTTTGAGCTCGTGCACTTAAGCACTTATACTCTTTTTTAACTCGAGGTATTTTCAAAACCCCTCTTTACACCTTGACTAGATTATTGTTTATCACTTCATCAGACTAAGCAATAATTGACCTCAGATCTGCATACCTCCCCAAGAGCCTGTAACCATTTTGCGATTTGATAACGCGGTGTTGGTAAGTCTGTCAGTTTTTGCAAATAATTTCAGGGCTCTATCCTTTATGTATTTTGGGATCAATCTTGAGGTCCCTGAGGATGTCATTCGTCCTAATGTATCATGGAACTTTGAAAAGTTTTCTCAGAGCTTGGCTTTGTGCAATTTCTAGCTGGTGAACAGCAGTGTTTGAAGTGACGGACGAATATATATATAACGTATTACATTACAGTATATTACAATAAAATATTTCTGATCACTTTAATTCTCTATAAAATTTAGACCAAACAAATTAAGCACCCGCTTGTTCTGATATGCCATGCGCCCATTTTTGTGCGCAAATGGACAAAGGATACATACTTTGCTTATATGCCACCAAAATTGAAAAATCATCATCTTAATCATCTTAATATAATGATTGTAAGAGTGATAAGGAAAGATATCGAATTATAAATTTGGTTTATAAAAATTTTTGATAATTCTATAGTTACAATATTAAATGTAAAAAAAAATTAACAGGACTTAATAATCAGTTTTAAAAAAGTAAAATCAATTTAATATAACATTTTGCATTATTTTATTTGTTATTGGTGTATAAAAGGACTCTAATCAGGAATTTTTTATAATTTACTTGTGAATTGCATATCAATAAATAAATTTCCAACACAAATACTTCTACACCCAAGATAATTAAGTCAAAACAAAAAAATTGAAGAGTTTTTTGCATAGTAGTGACCTTAGTAGTGACCCATAGAGATAGGCCACCTAAAGGGAAGTATCGTGAAAGCTGTGGTTAATATGGCGTTTACACTGGCCGAAAATGGCTCATTTTGAATGAGCCATTTGAAAGTGTTTACATAAGTTGTATTTCATTTGTTCTCATTTCAAACAGCTGATTTTTCAACTTGCATGTTGATTTGATTTTTGGCCTGTGCCAAAAAAATATTGCATGAAGGTTAAATATGCCTTCAAACCTTACAATATAAACTTAAAACATATTTTTAACTTCGATTAATTACTTTTTGGGAAGTTAAAGTTCTAAAAAGAATTGCATCGTTTTCAAGAAAATGCAACCACCAAACATTTGTTTACCTTTTTTTGTAAATATGTCAAAAACAGCTTTCTCAAACTGTCAAAATGCTATGAAAAGCTTTTATTTATGGTATGTTCAATGGATTCCTTTGCATTTGGAACGTATGTGGAATGCATTCGAACGTCATTCATACAGAATGTGAGAAAATTGCTCATTTTTGTGCTTGAAATTTTATATGCAAGAATGAGTCATTCGATACTCATTTTCGATTTTTGACCAAAATGAGCCATTTTCGGCCAATGTAAACGCCATATAAAATTCAATGTAATACGGCGTTTACATTGGCCGAAAATGGCTCATTTTGAATGACTCATTCGAAAGTGTTTACATTCGTTGTATTTCATTCGTTCTCATGGTAACAATTCAAACTGAAATAAAACTACTAAACATTTGTTTATCTTTTTTTGTAAATATGTCAAAACAGCTTTTACAAACTGTCAAAATGCCATGAAGAGCTTTCATTTAGGGTATGTTCAATAGATTCCTTTGCATTTGGAACATATGTGGAATGCATTCGAACGTCATTCATACAGAATGTGAGAAAATTGCTCATTTTGTGCTTGAAATTTTATATGCAAGAATGAGCCATTCGATACTCATTTTCGATTTTTGACCAAAATGAGCCATTTTCGGCCAATGTAAACGCCGTATTATGGGGGTCGTCGAATAACTTTATTATTCACTTACTTTCATGTAACGGAAGTTGCATTTTCCAACCGAGTGCTGTGATCAAGAATCAGCAGCGGTGTTAAATAAGCCTGGCTTTTTCCCAACTTGGAAACTATATCCAAATTATAACTTGAATAGGTGCTTGCGGAATTTCAATGGGAGTGTTTATCGGCGCTTTATACTGATGCATATTGTAAGAGCACCTTGGCGTTAAGTTTTATACAGTATTTACACTGGCTGAAAATGGCTCATTTTTGTCAAAAATCGAAAATGAGAAGCGAATGGCTCATTCTTGCATACAAAATTTCAAGCGCGAATGCATTCCATTTCAATATATTCTGTATGAATGTGTCCCAACGACGTTCGGATGCGTTCCAAATATGTTCCAAATACAAAGGAATGCATTGAACATACCCTAAATAAAAGCTCTTCATAGTATTTTGACAGTTTAAGAAAGCTGTTTTTGACATATTTACAAAAAAAGGTAAATAAATATTTGGTGGTTGCATTTTCTTGAAAACGATGCACCTCTTATTAGAACTTCTACTTCCCAAAAAGTATTTAATTGAAGTTAAAAATATGTTTTCAATATATATTTAACGTTTGAAAGTATATTTAACCTTCATGCAACTTTTTTTTGGCATAGGCCAAAACTGAAATCAACAGGCAAGTTAAAAAATCAGCTGTTTGAAATGAGAACGAATGGAATACAACGGATGTAAACACTTTCAAATGGCTTATTTTGAGCCAATGTAATGTACACGCAATATTAACGGCAGATATTTACATTAAAAAACTATGGATTCTGTATCTGTAATAAACTGTTTTCTTATGATAGATATACACTTAGCAGAAAAACTCTGCGTACAGAAAGTAAATTTTATTTTAACATATAAAAAATTATTAAATAAATAGATTTTTTAAATTATTTTTTTTTTATTTGTACTTTAATTCGTTACCTTCATTTTAAGCTAAAACTTATTTTGTCTCTCACGTACTTCAGCATTTCTTTGGAGGTTATATTGTATTCACGTACCAAAGGCTCCAGTAAATCCTACAAATTTTCTATAGGATTCAAATATGGCGATTACGTTTTGCTTTGCTTGGGCACATTTTAAAGCAACCAAAGCTTTACAACTTCTGCAGTGTGCTTATAAATTCTAAACTTAAAAATATAGATAATAAACGTTTTCGATTAAAATAATAGAAAATACTACAATTAAAACTATTGTATAATAAATTAATAATTAAAAAATTAATTAATTATCATTATTTAAGTTTTTATAGTTTAACAAAAACATTCCCAAATATGCAAAAAAAAACGTTCTTGTATATTTCTACTATGACCTATTCATACGTTTATTGTATGTGCGTTTATATTCTCTTTGGTTCATATTTTCTCATTAATGCCACTCTGAGAATTTGAGTGAAAATTGAGCCTAAAAAGGGCCTACACCTGCATGGTGATCAGCGAATTTGTTTTTGATGCATACTATAGGTATTAAATACTCATTGGCATCGACGACATCTAAATAAAAATTCGACGCTAACTATTTTGACATTTGATGTCCCAAATTTATCATCAGTGCAAGTCCAACTGTTTTGCACGTACAATAAAATTAATATTATTTAATTTGTTAATAGAACAAGATATATAATATTGAACATAAATCGTTTTAGAAAAAATCTAGTTTCTTATTTTGATATCTTCGATGCAGCAAGCTTAATAAAAATTCGACGTTAACTTTTCTTTAGCAGTTCTACGGACATGCTAATAACTCTTCAACTGTACGTTGTGTTTTTTCAGTACCATTTTAACGGGTTATTGAATTTTTCAGCGAATTTAATTCAAGATGGTATGCCATCTATTGACCAACTTTATACAAACTTTATGAATAATTAATTTCAATTTTTTTTAAATAATTGGGATTATTTAAGTATTGTATTCAAAGTTTTTTTATATATTAACTGTTTTCTGATTTCTGGTATATGGTAAAGTTGTTATTAAATTAGTGACCCCGTCTTTTGGGGATTATTTTCATTTTTCAGTTTTTATACAAATCACTTCATTCACACATAAAAGTTGAATGGAAACGGTATATTAATTCAATTTTCTACTTAGTAATGCTTTTTGCTGCATTAATTTTAATAAAATAAAAAATTTTTCTTTAATTAAAGTTTACTTGATTTTTCATGCTGCGAAAAATGTTCAAATTCCCTTTTAGACTTATCGTTGACGCTATCTTCACGCACATAAGTAATTAATTTATTAAAAACTGACATAATCAAATCATTTTCTAATTGTGTTATCGTAAAAATATGATATATGCAAAAAGTAAAAGTACAAATAAAAATAATTAGTCATAAATAATTATTTTAATTTAAGTGTGATTTTAGTGATTGGAATTAACTTAATTGTGAATTTTAATTGTGAATTTGTAAATCGCAATAAAGAAGTGCTGATAACGATATTTTAATGCAGCTGATCTTAAACATTTAGAAATAAATGCAGTTTCTTTAAAACAGTTGAAAACAATGGTTTTTGAAATGAAGAGGGTATTTATTACAGTTGGTACAACAAAATTTGATGAGCTAATATCTGAAATTATATCGGACAAAGTTTTGAATTTGCTACAAGAAAAAGGTTGTTGCCAACTTACTTTACAAATTGGTAAAGGCGAGATCTTAATTGACAGTAGAAAAATACATGAAAAATACGGTATTAATGTGGAATACTATCCCTTTAAGTTTGATGAAAACTCTACAGATATCGTAAATGCTGACTTAGTTATAGGTCATGCAGGCGCCGGTACATGCATTGACATACTCACAAATCAAAAACCTTCTTTAATCGTGATAAATGAGAATCTTATGAATAATCATCAGACAGAACTGGCAATAGAAATGGCGGCTGAAGGATACTTATATTATTGTAATGTAAAACAAATAGCTAAATCACTTGAGCATTTTGACTTTAATGCATTGGCGAAATTTGAACTCTCAGATAATGTAAATAAGTTTGTTGATTGCTTAAATAAATTTATTCAATAAACAATAACATGGATTTAAGAATTTTTTTTTTTATAATAAGCTCATTCAAATAATCATAGCTATATGAGCTCAACAATATAATTCCTTATCTATGCATTAATTATCTACAGGTGCTTTAAAGAAAAAAGCCCCTTACTGAAATATCCAAATATTTGGCATTTTATATAATTGCCACCAAATAAAAGAAGAAGAAAATACAGAACTGCAGTGCAAAATAAAGCAAAATAAATTTAATAAACAATGTGATGAACATGTGAAAATTGAGAATATTCAACAAACACTAGAATAACATGCTTCTTATTCTTTGTTCCCTTAACTCCCAGTGGAGCATAGGGTCTCAATAAATCCTCTGAACCGTATTCTATTTGGAGCTGCCGTGCAGATGTCGTTCCATGAGTAGCGCGCTGATGTTAATTCGGCATCAATTTTCCTTCGCCATGTTCTTGAAGGAGCGCCAGGCCGATGACTTCTTGCGGGTTTCACTTTAAGGCTTGCTTAGCGATGCAGGAATGCGACTTCCTTAGGGTATGTCCGATCCACTACCATTTTCATGTATTCTGGAATGACTAAGATTAACATTACGTTTCTAATAATTTTTTAAATTAACATTGGAAAATGCAATAAAACTTTTAGAATAAAATTATTTATAGCTACAAATACTGTTGTATTGTATTGTTTTGCAAATTTATCTTACTATTCTAAATGGCTATATGAACAATAAAATAAATTTCAAATTCACTAATTAAAACGCATAAGTTTAATTTAATTCTTTAATATTACTTGCCCACAAACAATTACCTGCCGTTGATGAAACGGAACCACCGCAGTTTTACAAGCACAAATTATGAAATTAAACAAGTCAAAATTTTTTATGCACATATTTGCTTTATTAGGTTTAAATTTAAATTAACAATTATAAGCAGGAAACTTTATTCATTATATTTAAGCTATTTATGAAAGTATATATTAACTAACTTCAAATTAGTTTCATATTATTTTTCGATAATTCCAATGTAACGATTGAACTCTAATAATCTCAATTAAGCCTAATTAAAGGACATTGAAAAAGTATGTTTTTAAGTGCAAGCATACGTTAAAATATGAAAAAGTGAAACAAGTATATCCCACACAATATTTAACTAGTATATTATTTTTACTACATATAATTAAGTTTATAAAATGTTCAATAAATAAGAATAAATTCATTTAATGAAATAACGCGAGATACTTGTCAAGGTACATTTAATCAGCTTCAGTTTGATTGGTAGATCCCCCATTTTCAATTATAGCATCAAACGAAAATGGCTGAAAAGCATATCCTTGTCCTTGATAAAATTTACTTTGAAACTCAACCCTAGAAAATAAAAATGAAAATTAAGTTAATTAAAAAAAAGCAGTGAGTATTATGATACTCATTACCAATGTAAACGTAATGTGTGTAAAAATGCTGAAAGCCCTTCCATTAAAACTAAAATTCCAACGGTCAAAACAGCCCAGAATGCGAAAACAATGGTCAGAACGACACCACCAAACCATCCTTCGTGAGTAAGACCAATTCGCAACACCATTTGCCACAAGACTTCAGCAAGTTCTGTATTACAATGAAACATTTGTTTTACGTTACCTGTGCGATTATAAAGAATGAAATAAATACTAACGTGCATGAGCTAGTGATAAAGCCCAAAGACGTAAATAGGAAGCGGTATGTGAAACAGATCCCAAAACATATTCAATAGTATGAATGCCCTGGTGTATAAATATTTCAGATATTTCTTCCTCATCGTGATGGTCACCACCTCCACCGCCATGGCCTCCTAATCCATTTGACATGCCAACTTCAGCATCACTAGTTGCGCCTGTGATGGGTTGTACCTATTCATTAAAAAAAAGATTTCATTTGATCTCTGCATAACAAAATGTATATCTATGTTATTTATATTATTCATTATTTTTTATATATTATATACAAATAGAAATGATAAATTCTATAATATTAAACTAACCTCCTCCTTTTTTTATAATTTTAATATTGTTTTGTAGGGAGTATTTGGAGTGTGTAATTGTTAAATTATAGAAAAGGTAAAAAAACAAAATTTAATTTTAATATCTTTAATTCCAACGAATATTAGGGAATGGAGTTATTTAAGATAATGAATTAAAAATTGAGAAGAGTAAAGCGATAGTATTCGGGTGTTTACTTACATTTGCTTGTTTCCGTTGCTTCATTATTTGAATTGGTTTACCAAGTAACATCACCGGAATGCATGCAAATGCGCCCAAAACAAATAATTTTTGGAAAAACGCTTGCCCACCAAACATGTAAGATTCACATCCCTGGGGTGGTTGCTTTGGCGTATTGAACAAAACCATGTCAATAAATGTTATCAAAATTGATGGTGCACAGGATGCAGAATAGGGAGCTTAAAATTGTATATAAAGATAAAATATATAATTATTAAATTTATTTGCTTACCCTCATTTGTTGCTGCATAACGATTCCACTTAATGAACATCAATAATACCATATAGAAGAAGAGTAGAATTAAGAAAAGCATTTGTGGAATGAATTCGTACAAGAGTGAAAGACGATTTTTAAAATATGTGTGATTGTGCCAACTCATTACAACACCGAAAATCATGTGAATAACTCCAAATATTATAGATATTTTCATTTTGTACGCATTTTGGAAAATAATTTTGTTTGCATTTGCTACTTGCCAAACAGGATCCATGCCAAAGGGATAAGGAGTTCCACTGTAGTCATTCGTTTCAGGATTTAGTTGTAAGAACTTATTACTTGCCACAGTACTCCTATTATAATGCACTTCCCAATGTGACCCAAATATATTCAAAGATTTTGAGAATATGTCATTATATATTAGACCAGTATACATTGAGAACACACCCATCAAAAAAATAATGTACCGCCCACCAAAGAATATATTCCAGATTTCATTGTCTGTTTTTTGTGCAGCTAATCCTTTTTCTTTACGAATCATCCAGAGGCCAAATAACGCCATAATTGCACCGTGACCCAAATCACCAAACATTACAGCAAACAAGAAAGGAAACGTTATAATAGTATAAGGTGCCGGATTCATTTCACGATAAGTAGCAACACCATATGCGTCGATGAGTGCTTGGAAAGCCTTTGTAAACTTATTTGTGCGATTATAAGTTGGCGGATTTTCAAAGGTTTGCATACGATTAAGTATCGGTGGTACTGCTGAACCCGATCTCTCCGTACCCCGTCGTAAAGCCAACTGTATAGTTTCAATATCAAGCACAGGAACCCAACATTCAGCTATTAAGCATTTTTGAGTAACATCCAAATTGAACAGGTTCAAAGTGTGGTAAATGGCTTTGATTTTGCGTACTTTAACAAACCAATTTTTAAGATTTTTTGCAGCGGCCACTAAAACACGATGACGATGATCCTGTGTTTGACCGAGTACGGTATTTAAATCCTCAATGCGTGTCATTACGCCCATGGCCATTTCTCTACGATCGGCTGGTGCTTCAGGACAAGGATACAGAGTAGCTCGAAATCCTTCACAAATTTTCTTAACACGAGTTTTCAATTGATCACCTTGGAAAAATATGATAAAAACAGACTTATACACTTGATCCCCCTAAAATATTTAATTGTATAATTACATTGCTATTATGTTTAAACAATATCATTTTCATAACTTACATTTGAAGGATCTTCGAGAGGAGATTCTATCATTGCTTGCCGTAAAAATACGTTACCACGACAGGCACGCCACAACATTCGCTCAAACGCTGGTAGCTTTTCACGCAGTATAACCCCGGCGACAAAACTAAATATTTAATAAGTTAACGGTCGTCATTTCTAATACTTATTAAGACTACAAGGATTTTAGTTACAAAACAAATGATTACAAACGTAAACTAAACTCAATTTAAAGCTCAAATGAATAATCATACATTGCACATTGCATATTGCAGTTGCAGTTGCAGTTGCAGTTGCAGTTGCACTTCCGAACGATGAATAAAAATGGAAAATTACTTTTCATTAAAAACGGAGGGAACGTGTCTGTTATGAATTTGTAGCGAGTTTGATGAATGAGAATTATGTATGCAGAAAAAATATGCAAATAAATAAAACATATGTACTTTTACGATACCAACCATGGAAGATATTCTTCACGCTCGTGCGCTTTATCCATAAAACTATCAGTGGCATTCGAAAAGGAAACATAAAATTATTTACATTTATTTTATTCTTTAGCTTCGAATTAAAAATTCATAAATTTATTGCGAAGTATATGAAAAAAATATATTGAAATCAACATTAGACATTAACTGTTGGAAAGTCAACTGTAATCGTTCTTTTACTTCTGGAATACGCTATTAATGACGATAATACTTAAACCTGCTTTACATTGTTGTACCTACATTACAGGTTCATGTAATAACAATACGAGAGTAACAATATTATCATACTAGCTCTGGAATAGTTTCAAGTGCATCGAATGACAGACAGCATTTATAGACTCAATTAATTACACTGAATCGATCCAATGTAGGACTTATGGTTAAGAAATTAGGCTTAATTTAAAATTTTACCAAAACAAATAACGCGATCAATTTCTATGTGACCGAAGCAGTTTTTCATTTACTTAATTTCTTTGTTAATGGATGAAATTTTTCGTAGACTACTATAAAGACCAACTGTAAATGATCACTAATAACTCGGACTTTCCACCTACTCACTCATATATTTATCTATCAAGTCGACCTTAAGGTAACTTTAGACCATTGCATTAAACAGTAAAAATCAACAGTAAAATCAATTAAATTACTTCTAATTAAAATACGCTACCATCACCAGATTAGGTTTGCTACCTAAATATTAACTAAAATCTTTAAATTTGGAAAACTTGGTTTATTTTAAATGATTTTTTACATTCTTGAGAAAGTCAAGTAAAAAATCACTACGCATTTCTATTGAAATTACAATGAATTAGTTAATA